AGTTATTTTATTGGATTTATAAATATTTGAAAGTTGTAAATTAAAAATTAACACAATATTTGCAATAGTGCTGATAAAATAAAAACTAAAATAAATTATTTGGCAATCATGCTCAACAAATTTGTTTGACAATAATGCCCAATAAAAGAGCACTTTACAATAATGCCCAATAAAAAAGTATTTGGTGCTTTTTTGTTGGGCATTATCATGAATACTCAACAAAAAAATATTTCATGATTACTAAAACAAAGGGATCTGGTGAAAACACCTTATAATACAAAAATTCATTTATGGGGTAATGCAATAGCTTCTAGTAACAGGAATTTAATTACAAAGTAAATTAGGAAAAAAAAAAACAACTTAAAAAATGCTTCTAAAAACCATTTTAAAATATGGCAAATTACATGAAACATTTCATAATAAATTATTTAACATTTATAAATTATTTAACTATAAAAAGTAGGTAGGTGCATATCTGCAATTTTTGGCACCAATTTTAAAGATAAAAATGGTGACCTTTTTTTCAACACGCACTTGAAGTAGGAGTTGTAAGAATAGATTTTTGTGGTGACCTATAACTGGACCAAATTTTGAAATTTTCAAAATCATAGAATATGACAATTTTGATTTTCAACTTACAACTTTTGATTTTTCATACTTACTACTAATTAAAACATAAAAAACTAATCTTTAAGCCTACTGCATTTTCAACCTACTGAATTCTTAACCTACTGAAATTTCAACCTATTGTATTTTCAACCAACTATTTTATTGATCGACTTTATAACTACATCTTTTCTGGTATGTATTTTATTTATTTGTTGTTGATTTGAATCAGAGCTGAATTTAATCCGCGATGGCGCAGCGACTGGAGCGCTGGCTTATAACTAAGAGGTCTAAGGTTTGATGCCTGGTCTATGTATGTAAGGTGGCGTTAAATTTCTTCTTAAATGCTCTTCCACTCAGTTCTACAACAAAACTAATAGGTCTTGTTGGAGCAACTTAATAATTAGAAGAAAATGAAAAAAAAAAAATCATTTTCTAACATTTGATGTAAATAGTGGTATTTTATTCTCCCAGAAGACCTAACGGTCTTATTGTAGAGCACCATGGAAAGGGTATTTAACAAGGATGTCTATGCCTCCTGCTGTACCAAATCGCTTACCTGACCTTTTTTTTATATATTACTCTTGAGTCATTAATACAAGGTGGGGGTGGGGGAGGGGGAACTTTAAAAACACAGACTAGTAGGTTAAAATGAACATCACATATAGTCGGTTGAAAATCAAATTATCTCTAATAGGTTGAAAATTAAAGTTTCTAAAATTGGTTGAGAAAAAATCGGTTGAAAAGTGAACACGTGTAAAAATGAATTATTGAAACAAAAGCTCTTTAATTATGTAGTAATAAATTTTGTGACAAGTAAACGCATAATTACTGATGAACAAGAAGGAAATATAAGAAGATGCATAAAACTGTAATTTTACAGCATGAGCATTTGGGAAACACTTTTAGTTTGTGTATTATTATGGCACGGACTGTTAACAGGTTAAAAAGTTATTTTTTTAGAAAAATAAAACTTTTATTAAAAACTTTGGTGATTTTTTTAAAGTATTCAAAACATGATTTTCACACACACACACTCACACACACACACACACACAAAACTATGCTGTATATTTATAAAGATTCCATTGATTTTTTTTTTACATGTAACATAGCTTTTTTTTTTTTTTTTTTTTTACATGTAATATAGCTGTTACATGTAATATAGCTTTTTTTTTAAGTGTATTAATGATTAAATGTAATAATAATTAAAATTCAATAAAATAATTATGATTACTAAATTTATTTTTTTATACCTAAAAAGAGTTTTATGGTGAAGACAAAAATTATATAGCTTGTAACTTAACACTGACAACTCATTTAAATATTGACTGTAGATAAGGAAACAAATTAAATATATTCATATCCAACAATAAAACATTTAAAACAACTTTTGAACTTCAAAAATATGTAAAAGTCAGATTGTACAACTAGTAAATAGATCCAAATTCTATGCACGTAATTTTTTTAGGGGTTCTAAACAATTTATTAATATCTACAACATGCTCTTTGCATACCAAAAAAATCTGCTGTGACACAACCATTGCATTCAACCTCAAGCTCAAGTAACATTGTGTTTTTCTATTTTATCTTCTCAACAAATCAGTGTTTAATCTGTATCATATAGTAATCAATTATCTACTTCTTTACCTGGTCCCACTTTAATAACCTCTTCTCATGAACCACTACTATCCAGGTTGAAATATGATCATTTTAGTCCTATGAAAAAAGTTTTGCAAAAGAGTTAACCATTTCGGCGAATGAAATAGCAACTAAGAAACCAAAGCATAAAAAGGATCTAAAAGAGTTTAGAGAAAAAGCAAAAACCCAGCCATACCAATTTAAATATCTGAGTCAGGTTATTGCTTGCAAAGAAAAGACATTCCTTTATATTTGAAAAAAATAAAAGAAAAAGTATTTGAATTTACAGTTGAAGAAACTTCAAAATCACATTTTTATTTTGAAACAACAGTTGACATTTACCCAAAGCAAGTTATCTTATCAAAAGGCTATGTTAAGTCAACAACTTGCTGACAAAGTAATGTGCAAAAAATGAAGTTCTATTATAAAACTACCCAAAGAAAGTTATCTTATCAAAAGGCTATGTTAAGTCAACAACTTGCTGACAAAGTAATGTGCAAAAAATGAAGTTCTATTATAAAACTACCGTAAGCTGAACGGTAATTTTTTAAGTTGGTTGCAGTTTTTTTAAGCAATCCTTATAATGAATTTTTGTTACTTAAATGGGAATAACTTTTTGTAGAATCATTTGTTTTTTATGAAACTTTCACCATTGTAATACTGATTTAAAGCAATGATATTAAAAAATAAATATTTTAATAGTTTAAAAATTTTCGCACGTACCTATAAACAGTTAAATAATTTATAAATTGTTAAATAAATTTAGTGAACCATAGCCATATTGGTTAAAAATAGTAGTAGCTTGCTTTTAGTACCATTGTTTAATAGCTTGTAGTTCATTGTAACATTTTATAAACATTAAAATAATACTTTACAGACAACAATAAAAAAATACTTTACAGACTACAATAAAATAATATTTTACAGACTGCAATAAAATAATATTTTACAGACTACAATAAAATAATATTTTACAGACTACAATAAAATAATATTTTACAGACTACAATAAAATAATATTTTACAGACTACAATAAAATAATATTTTACAGACTACAATAAAGCATTTTTTAAAAAAGTTCATTTTACCTGTCTTTTTAGTTTCAGCTGCACAACATTCTTTTTCTTCGTAAAAAGAACTGGTTAGTTTATCAAGATCAAAAGAGTCATTTAATATACCAGTTTGAACAGAACTGATCATTGATGTTTTAGTTGATTCCTGTGATATATTATTTGATATAGAGTCCATGTGAAAAGGTTTGTTAGATAATACAGCAGTTGTTAAAGGCTCCTGCGGGTTTAATGAAGAATTCTCTGCACTGTATAAGAACTCATTTTTTAGTTTTTTATTCTCTGAAACAACACCATTAAATGATTTTCTTTTGGTACTTTCAGTTTCTTTTTGCAATACAGGCGGGCACACAGACTTATCGTCTTGTAAACTAACTTTCTGACTAATATTAGATGAGTCATTAATTTTTTCACTTACTGGGTTTTCAGGTGAGACTTCTTTTGTATTAAAAATATCTTTGTCTTGTATGGATGGTAAACATACTGTCATTTCAAGTGAGTCTGTCAAGTGAGCTAAACTGTCTAAATAATTGAGACCATCCTGATCTTTATTTGCTTCATTTGCTAGCTCAACTTTTTTTTTCTTAAAAATTTCTTTGTCTTTGTCTAGAAATGGAAAACATACAGTTTTTTCAAGTGAGTCTATCAGATGGCCTAAATTGTTTTGGTTAACTTTATGACATTTTGAGGCCAAGTTTTCAGTGATGTCTATATCAGGACACAAATTAATGTTTTTATCTATTTTTGTTAAAGGCCCATTTTTTTTTATAGTAGAAAGTTCTTTTAAGTAACTGTTGACTTCAGACTTTAACTCATTATTAGTTAAATCAATTACATTTACTTTTTCAGAATGCCCTGCTGAACTAACAGGACAATGTGTCAATGAATTCTTTAAAGGTAACTTATTTGTTTTCATATCACTAAAGTCTAATTTTGTTTTAAACTTATCTGAATTGTTATCAAATTGTTCTGCCAACTTATCATCAGACTGAGCATACCTAAAAAAGTATAAAAAATGAAAAAAAAAAAAATTTTTAAATAAGTAATTTTAACAAGAAGTTAGCAACAACTTGTAAATCTCTACTTACTTCCGAGTCATGGCTTTCAACTCCTCAAAGGAAAACTCTAACTTTCCCATATAAATACGAGCCTTACAATACATTTCAACAATTTTACTGTTTGTCGGAAGTTCCTTAAAAAAAAAACTTGAACATTTTAATCTAAATTAAAATGAAATTAAAAAACAGGGAAACAATAAGGAATAATAAATTAGTCCTGTTGAGGAACAAAGAATCTTAATCTTATATTTAGATGCTATGTTACATTTGTAAATATAATTGGCATATTTAAAAGCCTTGAAAAAAATTAACAAAAAAATTTGATATCTTTCCAATAAGTTTTATGCAATTGTGTTTTTGATTTTTCTAAAACTATTTCGCTCATTTAAGAACAAACTATAAAAATGTTTATAGTTAACATTATAACAATTTTGCTAATCTTTTGAAACATAAAGTTAAAACAATCTGGTTTACCTCTTGAAACTTATAGCTACCTTATAACAATCTGCTTCACCTTATAAAACTTATAGTTACCTTATAAAAATCTGGTTCACCTCTTGAAACTTTAATTGCACTTAACGGCTTGCGCTCTTCGATTATAACATGTTTATGGAGTGTTGTATTTGAAATGTGAACATCTTCTTGATATATAGGAAAACTTACAGAGGAGCTTGAACCTCCTGCTTTTATCTAAAACAAATATTGAAATAATGAAAACCAAAAATAAAATAAAAAAACTTTTAATAAATTATCAGTAAATAAGTCACCATATGTTGCATGCAGAAGCAGTACAACTAAGTACAAGTGATCTTTAATTCTAACCCCACCACACCCATAGTACACCCCACCACAACCATAGTACACCCTACAACATCCATAGTACACTCCGCCACATCCATAGTAGCACTATCTCAACCTGTTTCTATGTAATTTAACTTTGTCTGTTATAGCTATTTTTTAGGAGGTTAAAAAAAAAGGGTTGTACAAAACATTTTTATAAACAGTAGTGAATATGAAAATCTTTTACTAAAATGACATTGAGTAGCCTAAAGAATAAAAAACAAGTCTCAGATGAGAGCTTTAAGTAATGATTTAAATTAAGTGATGAAAATTAAAAAAAAAACTCTAAGAGTATCCAAGTGTAACCTTTATATTTTTTAAATACATATTTACTTTCCTTAGTCATAGGGGTTGAAACTAGTCAAAAAAGTTGATTTTTTTTTAATATTTAAAAATTGTTACAACCCTCTTAACCCTTCAACTTCAAAATATGGACTTTAACAAACAACAAGGCTAAATAAATATAAGTTCTTGTTAAACTAAAAATTCTTAATGCTAAACCTTTATTATACTTTTATAACAAGACACGCAAAATTAAATAAAACAATTTGTTCAAAAAAATTAAAATCATCAGAATAACTTAGATAAACAATCAGTTTGACACAAAGCTTTTAACACAAAGTTTTCACTATAACAATATAAAAATAAGGTAAAAATTACTGACCTCAGTCATTTTTAGGTAAACAGTTAGGTTGGCGTTGCCAAATGCCGACCCTAATTCAGAGTACTACTATATTATCTTAAGATGCAATAATATGATGTAATAGGGTAAACTTAACATATACAAAACCAACTCACCATACTATTTTATTAGATGCAATAATATGATGTAAATAGGTAAACTTAACATATTCAGAACCAACACTCACTAAATTGTTGCAGTAGATGCGATATGATTTAAAAGGGTAAACATAACATATTCAGAACCAACATACTTACCATATTGTTGTAGTATATGTAATAAGGCGTTGCCCATAAATTATGTCACACTCTAGGGGTAGGAACCTGTTAGTGGTTTTGTGATGACATATACGAGACTTGATATTAATCAGTTACAATGTTAAGATCTCCCTTGTCAAAAGGAGGGGATCAAAAATGGTTGTAAATTGCGTAACGTAATTTATGAACAACCCTTAATATGATGTAATAGAGTAAACTTAGAAAACAAAAAACCAAGCTAATGAAATTTTTTTTCATGTATCATTTTCCAAACAACTCTTTTTTAAATAACTTTTAAAAATGGATATTTATTTTTATAGCATCTTTATGCCGAACTATTGATAATTAATCATGTGAACATCTAGCCGGACAATTGGCAAAACTCCAGGCTTTTTAATGAAAACAACAAACAAAGAAGCTAATAAACTGTACATCTTACAGAACCAATTACTTAAGGCCAACAAAATTAGAAAATCAAAAAATTGTTTCTCATACTTTTCAGTCAAATTACAAAAAAAATCAACCTTTGTTTTTTTAACTAAAAATTAATTTATCGTAACATCAAGGTCTGCCTGCATTTTAAAAAACAATTAACCGAAAAACTGATATCTCAATCAGATTATAAATTAACTGTGAATATTTTTACTTTTTACATTAGTGTCATTAAAATAAATATTTTTAATCTGAAAATTTCTTACTTTATCAGAATTAGAATTTTTCACATTTTTATGAGTTCAGTTTTTTAGTTTATATTTAATGCTAATTTAATTTTTTTTTAGCGTAACCTTATTTACAATGTATTACAATTTAAAAAAAAAATTATATATATATATATACATATATATATATATATATACATATATATATATATATATATATATATATATATATATATATATATATATATATATATATATATATATATTTATGTGTATATATATATATATATATATATATATATATATATATATATATATATATATATATATGTATATATATATATACATATATACATATATATATACGTATATATACATATATATATATATATATATATATATATATATATATATATATATATATATATATATATATATATATATATATATATATATATATATATATATATAGCATCTAAGCGCAATTTTTTCTGTAAGAACCAGGCAGAGCATTTTTTTAAGTATGTTAACGGTATTCATATTAGAAGTTAAATTTCAAAAAAATATTTTAAATTTTTTTGTTGGTTCTCTAGATATTGGACTTCAAACTGATGCTTGAGGATTTTCTTCAATAATGGCTCACACACGTTCTATACAGGGTTTAAGAGTGCCCTTAACAAGAATCATTTTTGAGACTCTCTGTAGCATCTTTAAATAAAATAGCCCACTTGGCAATTGTACTATATTTTGGTGCTTGGTCACCATGAACTAAAACCAATTCATCAGTTATGGCTTTTGCTGAAACTCTGAGTAGAACACGGATTTTAATATATGCTCAATATTCAAATTTTTCCATTTTTAATTTTTTTATTCAAAGATGTTTAAAAATTATTTTAAAAAATTTTAATAATTTTTTTAATACATATTAAAAATAATTTAACAAGTATTTAAAATGCTCATAATTAAATACAATTTAAGATAACTAATAAGATAATTTAAGATTTACAGTTAAATACAGTTTAAATAATATTTAGTTTAAGATAATATATAGTTGCCTTATAAAAACTAGGCTCTACCTGATTCTTACTGAAACAAATATAAATATTCATCTTGTAAATTATTTAAAAAAATAAAATACCCATAGGGAAGTGAAGGGTTAAGGCTGTTCACCAATTATGTTGAGGGCTAGGGAAGTGGGTTAGGATTTAGAGGCAAGGGGATGGTAGGGATCTAAAAGCTTGAAAAATGCATGACATAATTTATGAATAGCCCTTAAGTTGTAAAATATTCTGATATAATTTCTTCTAGTGTGAAATGCAATATCATACTAAAAAAATATCAATTTTGAATAGGGTCACTATTGAACTCTGCCTGATTCCTACAGAAAGCAGCAATTTTTTATAAATATGGTAGATAAAAGGACAATACCCATTTTTTAAATTAACTTTTTCTGCAAAACCAGGGCTTTAGCCATTATGATTTCACAAAAAATGTGCTAACCAACTAAAATCCTATTTTTGAGATTTTGAGACTAACCAAGGTAAAATTGGAAATTATGTACTTTTTTTTAAATTTAAAAATGCTTTTACAGGGTGGCCACTCAAATTTGAAAATAAAATTTCATGACTCTTATGATAAATCACTAGAGTAAAATATTCAGTACTTGTCATGTACTAAGCATTTGAAACTTGTCATGTACTAAGCATTTGAAACTTGTCATGCACTAAGCATTTGAAACTTGTCATGCACTAAGCATTTGAAACTTGTCATGTACTAAGCATTTGCATCTTGTCATGCACTAAGCATTTGTCATGCACTAAGCATTTGTCATGCACTAAGCATTTGTCATGCACTAAGCATTGTCATGCACTAAGCATTTGAAACTTGTCATGCACTAAGCATTTGAAACTTGTCATGCACTAAGCATTTGAAACTTGTGAAATTTAAAAATTTTCGATACCCTTACGTTTCAGAATTTGATTATTTTTACCTCATTTGCAGTCCATATTTAAAAATAAATTACTGCAAAAATTTTAGTTAAAAATACACATAGGTTCCAGAGATATTGTCAGTTGAAATAATGCTGACTCAGCATTTTAGTGATTATCTGAAGCGATTACAAAGCTACTTTAACATATAATATCTTCATTATGACTTGGAGAAATTTCCTAAAATTTTCCTTTGGTACCCCAATAGATGCTTACTTGAGGAATCCAAAAATAGCACCCTCAAGACTCGATTGTTTCAGGAAATACCTTGTTTATCCAATTTTGTTCAAAATTATTGACTTTCATGATTTTCATGAAACTCATGATTTTTGGAGGTAAAATGAAGACTGTGGCCCAAAATCCCCAGTAAAAAGTTTAATTGTATATCATTATTTTATCTTAGGTCTACTGTAAAAAATTAGATTCATCTCTGTAATACTTGATCAAAATTTGCATTTAAAAATTGTCATTTTAGAAAAATTCAAATTGTGCAATGAAAGCAAATGAAATGTTTTTAAAACATTTATTTGAATAAAACATCAAATAGTGTTATTTATTGACTAGTTTAGGACATTTTTAGTCATGGTCCAAGGGAGGGCCAGAGGGCACTCTAACTAACTCTGCCCCCCTCCCTCACACACACTAATCTCCCTACTTTATATATATATATATATATATATATATATATATATATATATATATATATATATATATATATATATATATATATATATATATATATATATATATATATATATATATAAAATGAATTAATAATAAATAATTATTAAAATTAAATTTAAAAACATAATTTTTTTTTTAGTGTATGTTTGAGAAACAATTTATTTGCACTATTTCAATTCAAATCGGTGAATTCTTACCACTATTTTATCAAAAACAACCAAAAGTTTTGTTTTATTCTTTTCAAAGGCTGTACTTTACTTGTTTATATTTTCTTAAAGAATGATTGTGAATTTTATTGTTTTTACATTTTTTTGGCAGTTTTTTTTATAAATAATAATCATATTTAATATGGAAAATTGTGATACATTAATGTGACATTGTTAGTTACCATTATAGAATTAGTTGAGGTTGATACCACTATAGAATTGCTTGGAATTTCACCAGTCAAACTAAAAAGTCTTTCAAAACACAGCAAATTGCCAGCAGCAAAACAAAAGTTTGAGAACACTATTAACAGATTTGCAAAAATGGTCTCATTAGCATTAAAGAAACAAAAATGGTCTCATTAACATTAAAGAAACTTCTTTAACAACAGAAACAAAATTATTTCAAACATTTGTAAAATGAACAAATTCTGAGACGTAAGGGTGTCATGGTCTGGATGATTTCATATGAAATGACCCAGAATGTTCTAAAATCATGTCTGACAAAAAATCTTTTTCTTTTACTTCTCTGATAACTTACAATGAAAAAATATCTTTTTCAAAAAGGACTTAGACTAGACGTACAAGTACTTTTCTTTGCATCCTAAATATATCACAAGTAGAAAAAAAATAAAGATCGTATAAAAAGAATTTTCCATGTTGCTCAAATACTTCAAGTTTCATGAATTTTCCATGACTTTCAATAAAAATTTAGGAATTCCATGACTTTTTCCATGACCAAATAAAATTCCATGACAATTCCATGATTTCTATGACTACCCTGTTTTAACTACATTTGGTCAATTTTTCCAAAAATTAGGTTAAAAACTTTGATTTGTTCTTATTTTCAAATTTTATTACACAGTTTAAGTCATTTATTACTGGTTTAAGTGTGTCTGCAGATAAAACATGATTTTTTTTTTCCCTGAAGTGAAACTAAAGATGTGTAAAAAAAAGAAGACATGCTATCATATTTATTAGGCATCCACAAAGTGAATTAAAAATTGATTATCATAAACGATAAATAAATACATTAGACGCTTTTTTCAAAAAATTTATATGTAAATGAATATTTAGTATTTTAGTTTGAAAAAAAACTTTAAAACTTGCATTTTTTTAATTAATCAATCTTGACCAGAAAAAACTCATTTTTGGAAGGCAAAACAGCAATTTTTGATCATTTTGCTCATTATTTTGTGCGCTTGTATCTTTGTGCGCTTGGTACTTTTTTATTTTAATTAAGGCGTGTGGGTGAGCGCAAATTGGCTTGACCATGAAAGCGATGACTAAATGGGGAAGACTTCCAACTTTTAAAAAACAACTGATAAATACAAAAGTTAAAATTAAATTAAAATACAGACATTTCTTGATATTCATCCAGTATAATCAACATTTAAACTTTTGATGGAGAAAAAGATTACATTAGCAGTAAAAATTAGTTTCCAAAAGCATAATTATGCAGAAAAACAATGAATGACGAAGGCACTAAAGTGCCTTTTCGAAAAACTTAATAAAATAATATAAAAAAACTCAAAATATACTCTAAAACACCTTTTTTAAATTATATTGTGAAAGTTTGACTGTCACAATATAATTTGGAAGTAAAAGGCTATTCCTCTAGACTGTCTAACATCCTTAAATGTGACATGTTTAGTAAGTTTAAGACATTTCAAAACTAAAACACTCATCAGGTTGTTGTATTAAATCCAACAATATAATGTAATTGGGTAAACTAAATGTAATTAAATGATATATAGTAAATTATACATATTATATGTTTTTATTATTTTTATAAATTTTATAAATTCTCTTTGCATGAACTATAAAATTTATGCGAAAAACTAACAAATTCCTTTTCTCTGCCTAATAAAGCCTCTGTTATACATCAATATCAACTACTTAATGTTGCAAAGATCGTGCAACATGATCCAAAGTAATATTGAATAATGTTCTATTCTAACTTATTATTTAAAATATATAAAAAATTCAATACATTAAATTTATATATTCAGTTATATTCAGTTAAAATTATATATTAAATTATCTTTAGTTTATATATTTTTGTATATTATTTTAGACCCCCTCCCTCCCTTATCATAACATCGTAACACTTTAGTAACAATTTCTGTATGAGTCAGCACAAAACCACTAAGCGTGACATAATTTATGGACCACCCCTTATATAGCATTTATTCTGCGTAGATGAATTTCAACAATGCTACTTGAAAACTGAATGTTAAACTGATAATGAAAATGATAGTAATGATGACTTACAACTGAATTATTTACAATATTTATACTAGACAGGAAAATACCTTTGTTCCTTTAAGAGTTGTTACTGGTTTTGTATTTTCTATATGCAAGGATGGATCAGTGGGAAGTACTTTGGACTGTCCTTTCGATGGTACTGGTAAAACAGAATCAGAACTTGACTCCTCTTTAAAGATTTGGAAATATGGACCACTGCAAGAAATCTTTTGAGATGTACTTTGCTTCTTGACTAAAACATAAAGATACTCTTTGGCTTTTTTTGACACTTTTTAATTATAAATAAAATCACATATGAAAAAAAAATTAATAACATTTTTCTCAAGTTACAAACCTTCTTTTTTAATTCGGTTGCTTGGCACCTTTCCACCCTTACATGCATTTAAACCAGCTAGAACCTCTCTTGAATTATCTGTTTCAACACTTTTACTTGATGATGATTTTGCCATTCTCATTTCAAACATCCTTTTTTAAATGTATAAAAATGTAATTAAACTAAATTTTAAAAATAAAAATTTTAACAACAATAAAATGCAAGAAGTATAATTGGGAGTATATATATATATATATATATATATATATATATATATATATATATATATATATATATATATATATATATATATATATATATATATATATATATATATATATATATATATATATACTCCTAAATATGTTCTGTATGTTAAAACAGCACTGGATTAAAAAAACTTTTAAAAATTTTTATTCAAGAGCTCCCTAAAACTCTTGAACATTTAATGAGTCCCTAATATTATAAAAAAAAAAGTTGACAAAAGTGTATTATGTTAGATCTTAAATAAAGCAAAATAATATGAAAATTTTACAAAAGGATAATTATATTATGACAAAACTAAAAAAAAAAAAATTGATAAAAATGTACTTTGATCATTTTTAGGGTTTAGAATTCAAGGGTCCTGAAGACCCCTAAATATATTTTTTATTCTAAATTTTATTAATTCATTGTTATTTTAATATACAGAAGACATTTAGGTAGTATGTATAGACATTTAATTTTATTTCTTATTTGGGACATATACAAGTATATATATATATATATATATATATATATATATATATATATATATATATATATATATATATATATATATATATATGTATATATATATATATATATATATATATATATATATCTATATATATATATATATATATATATATATATATCTATATATATATATATATATATATATATATATATATATATATATATATATATATATATATATATATATATATCTAAGTGTGTGTATACATCATATATATACACACACACAGGTGAAACTGTGTGTGTATATATATGCTAGTGGTATATTATTACTAATAATATATCATAATTGCTGTAAGAACTTTTTTTTCTTTCAACTGTATTTATTCAACTTATCATTATATTTTAAAATTTCATTTATTTTCTAGCAAATTTTTGCAGCATATCACAATAAACGAATTTACTAAATAAGCTTTTTTTCTATTGTAGAATTTTTAAACTAAACTAAAACTTAGCACGTTTTTGTAAGTGCATGTAAATACCATGCTAAAATATAATTTTTTTCTTCAGGTGCATACTTTAACTTAAAAGTAATTCTATTAAATGCTTTAGCATGGTTTCTTTTAAATTTCAGTAACCAATTGTTTTTTTACTATATATTTATATATATATATATATATATATATATACATATAAAATATATAAATTTCTTGTAAGTATTTCAAATTATACTACAATTACAAAAAATAAAACAAATTTGAGAGTACTCAAAATTTTATTAAACAAATGCAAATTTCATTTGACTCATCAATTCATAGTTTTTTCGATCATTGCTGTACTGCCTAAGTTCTGCAGCGAGCTTCAGTCATGCTATACAATTTTTTGCAAAAACAAAAGGTTTTTTAATAGGATGGCAGCCAAAGAGGTTGTTTTCTCTAAAGTAACATTTAACTTACTTTAAGTACTAGAAACTTGATTTGGATATGTAAATTCACAATGGATTTCTTTAGTACTCTTGTGCGGATCTTAACTTTAGTTTGCTAAAGGCCTTTGACAATCTTACTATAACATTATCTGGAAGAAAAGTTGTTGATTTGGCCTTCTTGACTTCGACAATGCTTGGAAATGATTCAGATGTCAAGAAGTTGATTCCAGTCCATTAATGCTGAGTATTTAAAAGAGTATTTACTGTAGGATTTTGTATTATATGTTTGCACACTCAGTGCATCTCTAAAAGAATTTCATGTAAGTTGACAGCTAATTGCATTACGTAGAGTAAACCATTTATTAAATGTAGGAGGTAGCTTTTTGTTAAGGCAGCCGAAAATAAATAAACAATTTTTAACTTTGATTATATCAAGTAATTTTAAAATTTGTAATACAGTAAAAGATATGAATGCATTAAATTTTTTGGTAGAAATTCAATAATCTTGACTGCTTTTTCTGTGTAATAAATAGGCGATTCACAATACTTATGTTTTGACTTCATGATAGAAGGCAATGTGAGGTAAGAATGAAATAATGCATAGTAAATAGATTTTAAACTTTTTTTTAAATTTATGAAATATCTTTGAATGGTAAGTGATCTATTCAACTTATTAGAGATATCATTATTATGGTAAATTCAGGCTGAGCTTTGGTCTAGCATTATACCTTTTAAATAATATTAATTCAGTCTTTTTGAAGTATAGGAAAATTTTGTTGGCATTTAGCCAGTTGAATAGTTTTTTAAGGTCATAGTTAACATATTTGTTGATTTTTTTTATAGACTTAAAATAAAGAAGGTGTATGTCATCTGCAAAGAGTTCAACTCTACAAAATTTTAAAGCTTTAGACATGTCATTTATAAAAATAAGAAACAGAAAAAGGTTAAGGACAGATCCATGAGGAACACATACTCTGATATTGTTTAAGTTTGAACTCACCTCACTAATAGATACTAATTGAGTTCTTTTAGGAAAAAAAGATTTAAATGAGGGGTTTGAAATACCATACCATAGTAGGATAGTTTATAAAGTAAAATGTCAACATCTACAGTGCCAAATGCCTTTTGAAGGTTGTTAAAAATACCACATCTAAACATTCCTTCATCCAGTAAAAACCAAATTGCAGTTCAAAAAAAAGTTTATTTTCATTGAAGAATTTGTATAATCTGTTAAAAATTAGTCTTCCAAGAATTTTATCAACATTGGAGAGGAGGGAAATTAGTCTACAGTTTGAAATTATTACTTTTGAATCAGTTTTAAAGATAGGTATAACTTGTGCAGTTTTCAAGTTTTCTGGGAAAATACCACTTAAGAATAAGATATTAAAAATGTTAGAAAGATTCTTGAAAGTTCTGTTTTTTACTATTTTAGAATTTTTATTGGTAGACCGTTTGGTCCAGAAGCTTTATTTGTGTTCAAAAAGTTTTAAAATTTCCTGGTTGTCAGTAGGTTTTATAAAGAAAGATTTTTGAGAAGTAATATGTAAGATGATTCATGGAAGAAGGAATTGTTGTCTGGATATCTTTACTAATGTTAGTAAAGCATTACATTGTTGAAAGCATTACAAATATCAAAAAGGGTTTGTTATTGTTATATTGTTATGTACAATTACATTAGGAGATTACACTTGTTGTTTGAGTTTCTTTTAATATTAATGATGTTTTTGATACCTTTTTAGGTTGCTTTTTATGTTTTTCAGTATAATAATAATCAAAGTAATTTTTTTTGCTTTCTTTGAGTTTATATTGGAAGTTATTGCAATTTATACTCATTAATGAATATTATTTGTTTAATATTTTGTTTGTTAAGTTTTCTAAAAGACGCATAGATATCAAGCAGTAGATAATATCGGAAATAGTATTCTCATAAAACTTAGTTCAAATATCAGGGTATATTTTTGGTTCTCTGTGTACACTAACTTTGTGAAAATTGTTTCTAAATGACACTTATTTAAAACTTTTCCAGTTTCTTTCCTGAATTAAGAGCTTTTTGTTAGATAATGATTTAAGAACATTATAAGCAGAAATTTAAAATGATCTGAGATTGTGGTGATAAGATGTCTTGCCTTATATTTATTTGTTTTAATATTTGAGATTTTGTCAATTAAATATACTTGCTAAGCAATTAATACCAAACCATGAACAATTTTTTTTAAGTAATTGGTCAGTATCATTGAGGTTGTTACATTTGAGACAGGCCAAATTGAGGCAGTTATTTTAAAAAATAGCTTTCTGATTTTTATATACATTAATTTTCCAAACAGCACATTTGCTATTTGTAGTTTTTTATTACAGTATTATTATGGTGATAAGGTATTTTAATATCTTAACACAGAAAAAATTCAATTTTTTTTTTGTCTCTAAGAAAAAACTATTTCTTTAAAATGTTGAAGTCAAAATCAAAATTAATAATAACAGACTCATCCTTCAAACTATTAATAATCTTGGTGTATTAATTGACTGCAGTCTTTTATGAAACTTTCACATTGATGAACTAAGCAAGAAATCTTGAGCTAACAGTATGCTCTCAATAATTTGTCATTATGAATACTTAAAATATTTACTATGTATTATTCTTATCTTATCTTAACTATTATTGTCAAGTTTGGAATCAAGTTAAAAACTTGATTCCAAACTTGACAATAATAGTTAAAAAATCATGTTAACAAGTTGCTATTGCTTCAGCGTCAACCAATTAGATTTATAAACTTCCAACCAATTAAATCAAATAGATCGGAATCCTTCAAAAAACTTAACATTCCAATATTTCTAGCGCTAGTGAAGTATGCTAACCTTCTTATTGTTTTTGATTACAAACTTGTTCACAGAAAGTAGACTAGTACATTCCTACTCTATTAGAAATATATACAATGAAAAACTAAATACACCATCTTTTAAAATCCAGAAGTATGGTAAACATTCTATTGTTTATCAGTGCGCCTGTGAATGGAACAAGAGCTTTGTATGCATTTTGAATGAGTCCAAAAAACTACATCCTAAAATACCTTTTCTTCATCTAAAATAAAAACAATTTCAAAAACACAATTCTAATAAATCATTAACTTATTATTATAAAAAATTTTATGCTTATAACTACCATTATAATATTTATTATTATAACTTTTTTTTTTCATTGGAATTATTGTAAACATCTAATTAATAATACTGAACTTTATAGTAGTGCGCTTTCGAGCCTATTTTACATGATACTCTTGGCAACCATTGTATCCGAGGTAGTGATGAGAAAGAGTTTCACCTTTGCTTTATAAGAAAACGTGAGCAAACATGAAACTTATATCGTACAGACCTAAACTTCATGTTATGTAATGTTAAAACATGCTTAAACATATATCAAGTTCTACAGTTTGATTCTCACTTAAGAACTGCATTACGTTAACCTCTTCTTAATTTCTGATCTTTAGCATTTATATCTGTTAAAAACAATTCTATATAACTTCAAATCTTGGTCGCTTAACGTGTCAGAATAGTCGAGTGGTTATGGCGCTGAGCTTCAGAACAAAATAGTCGTGGTTCGAGTCATACCATCGGCACTTTCTTTTTTAATTTTTTTGCGTATGTGTCATTATTGAGATACTTATGTTATTTTAATTAAACTTTTTAAGTTTATTTACAACTAAATTGAGTTAGTGCAAGGAAAATTAGTAAAAAAAACATGTTTATATATAGAATATAAAATCTATATAACTTTGATTTGCATTTTAAACAACAAAACCACGTGGCAAGCTGATGAATTGCCACCCGGCAACATTAACTTTTTTTAAAAACGATAAGGGGGTTTAAAAAGTATTTTTTTCATAAGGACATAATTAAAAATTTTAATTTTATATTTAAACTAAATTATTTTATAAAATTTATTGTTTCTAAAAATAACTAAAAGTTAAAACTATTTAATATTAAAATAATAAGGAAATTTAGAGATTTACAGCTATTTATCAACGCCTCTGTTAAACATTCTTAAACATTACTTTGATGACTTTAATAACATGAGATGTACGAGGTACTGTAGATGTGCACGCGATAAGTATTTAAACTGCTTTTTATCTAATAACTATCTAATCTCTAAATATCTTTGAATATCTCTTTAATCATTATAGTAAAACTATAATTATTGAATATTTATAATATTTATGAATTTTATTTATAATTGTATTTTGTAATTTTCAATCTGTTTTTATAGCTACTAAAGTTTGACTTTTTAATGTTTTAGTTAATGAAACATGTTCTGTTTTGTGGGTGATGTGTAGAAATTGTTTCTCAACAAGCTGTTAATTTTATAAAAGCTGAAGATGAGCTTATTTTAGATATAAGTAAGTTGTTTTTTATTTTTTATTGCTTTTTCTTGTTAGATACTAAAACATGTTTTACAAGAATCTAATTATTTAGTACAGTGTTATTGTCTGGTGGTGATATTTATGTTAGATTTTATTAAGTTGAATTTACTTTATTAAATCTTTCAAATTTACTTTTTTTAGTTCCTAATTATTTAAATATAAAATAACAATATTTATGTGATTGTTATTTTAATTGTAGTCTCATAGCTTATCATACATTGTAAGTTTTAAATTTGAATAAATTTGAATAGTTTTTAAGTTTGTATTTATTTTAATGTAATGAAAATCTAATTAAATGTGTTTGATTTTCGGTATCTAATTAAATGTGTTTGATTGTCCAATGACATGGGTTTCAAAGTGGAGGGGGGCACAATAGTCAAATTCTAAATAAAGTCTTCTACATCTAGAATAGGCAATAAGATTTTCCCTCTATTAAAGGGAAGGAATTACCCTTATTAAAAGTGCAGTTTGAGAAGTTATAGTGGGCAGTGGAAAATACATAACTACATCTACAAATAAAAGAGGTATGTTAATGTATTTAGTTTTATATGTATATTTTTATTGATCTATTTTTCAAGTTTTGTTTGTAAATAAATATACTCTTTCAAAAACATAACTTTTTTTTTTCTTTTAATATTAATTTAGTTAAAAATTGAGTTACGTTTATGTTTGTTGAAAGTTGTACATTTTATTTTACACTAAATACCATCAAAATTTAAGTTAATTAAACATGCAAAATTTTAGAATAATTCAAGAGCTGCTGTGACAGTGTTTATGATTCTCCATGTCAAAATAATATATTTTAAATAAAATTTTTTGAATAATTAATTTTCATAATCACTGGTTATTGCAGGTATTCATAGGTTTATTAATTACTTGCAATATGAAAAAACTTTAACTTTAACTACTCTAGCTTTAATATCAGCATATGTAGCTTTCAGTTCAGAAATATCATTAGTTATTTTTAATAGAATTATATTATTAGTAAGTAGAATTTCATTTTTTTGAATATTTATTATTTTGAATATGGAGGGATTTAGTATTTTTCATTGGTAGTTTAGACATTAGTTTAGGTTTTTTTGAAAAATTAGTTAGGAGAAATACTTTTATTTTGATTATTGGATTACTGGATTAGCTAGATTTAAGCGAATATAAGTTAGAGATGTGTTTTTAGTTGATAAATCGAATTCAGGCCTTATATATATATATATATATATATATATATATATATATATATATATATATATATATATATATATATATATATATATATATATATATATATATATATATATATATATATATATATATATATATATATATATATATATATGCGTGCATATATATATATATATATATATATATATATATATATATATATATATATATACATAGTCAGTGAAATTCAGGTCGGCGTTCGGCAATGTTGGCGCAAAAGTCGACCTATCCTTGCTTTAGGGCAGCATACAACTGCCGACCTGAATATCCTAAAGTATTGGCATGCAAATTGAAATACATGTAAAAAATAAATAATATTTGTTAAATATTATTTTATAAATTTTTTATTGTAATTACTTACTTTTCAAGTTTGATATGTTTTATTAAAACAAAAATTCATTCATTTTTTTAAATTCATTTTTTCTTTTTTCTCAAACTTATTAAGTATAGGAAGGTTAAAAAATATTACTTTTTAAATGCTTGTTGTTCTCACACTTTTTTAAGTGCAATTATTATTTTATTAAGTTATAAAATCTAATTTTAATTTATTTTATTAGTTAAAACCATTTAACTAATAAAATAATTTACATGTTTATGGTTTTTTAAATATTATTTAAGATCAGAAAGTATATTAGGAAAGTTTAGCCTTGGTATAATTATGTTGAACACATGGAGAAGAAACATTAGCAACAAAACTTTTTTTTAATTTGATAGAAGTTAAGGCTTCCATTAAATTGTAACAGACAAATTAGTAATACAGTAAGCAAGTTATAATGCCTAACAGAACTGTCATTGAAAAATGGGGGTTTAAATCCTGCGGATTTTAAACGGATAATATAGGTGAAGTAATTTTAATATAAAAACTCTAAATAGTCTTGGCAAGTTTTACACTTAAGTTATAAAAATCTAATTTTAATTTATTTTATTAGTTAAAACCATTCAACTAATAAAATAATTTACATGTTTATGGTTTTTTAAATATTATTTAAGATCAGAAAGTATATTAGGAAAGTTTAGCCTTGGTATAATTATGTTAAACACATGTGGAGAAGAAACATTAGCAACAAAACTTTTTTTTAATTTGATAGAAGTTAAGGCTTCCATTAAATTGTAACAGACGAATTAGTAATACAGTAAGCAAGTCATAATACCTAACAGAACTGTCATTGAAAAACGAGGGTTTAAATCCTGTGGATTTCAAACTGATGATTTAGGTGAAGTAATTTTAATATAAAAACTCTAAATAGTCTCGGCAAGTGTAAAACTTGTCGAGAGTATTCAGAGCTTTTAAAAAATTGTCATAATAAAAATAAAGGCTGCGCTAAATTAGCAACAGAAACATTTGTACAGGAAACAGTTATAAAAAAAAAAATTGATGATGATTGGGCAGAAAAATCTGATAACGAGAAAATTATGAAAATACGTCAATACGAAAATATGCAAAAACAATTTGCATATATATATGTATACTTATACAGTTTATACAGGCGGATCCAGCTTTTTTTGTTACTTGAGATAATTAACGTCCAGACATGGAACAAACTCCAAACATTTTTTTGTTTATTCTTATGTCAAATAAGGATGCAAAAAATTGCAATGATTGGAGTCTGGGAACAAAAAAGCCCTAAAATTTTGGCCACAATTACCCCAAATGTGAGAGCAACAAGTTGACACAATTTTTTTGTTTACGATTTTTAACTAAATTTATATTTATCAATGAATTTTAATTTTATAGTATTATCTCTCACCATTTAAAAATTATGACCATATGAAATTTAAATCAATTGAAGGGGGTTACAAATTTTATATGGGCATAACTTTTGAATGCTAAAAGATTATTATATGCAATTTAAAATTTATTGATGAATATAACTTTAGTTGAAAATCATTAAAAAAATACTGTTTTAACTTGTTGCTCTCACGTTTGGGGTAGTTGTGGCCAAAATTTTAGGGTTTTTTTTTCCCAGGCTCCAATCATCGCAATTTTTTTGCATAACATCCTTATTTGACATAAGTATTAAAAATCATAATCTTGTTTAAAAAAATTTAAAAAAAAAAAAGCTAAACCTTTTTCCTTCTTTTAACACATCTAATGGCTGGGCGCTTCGATTAATTCCAAGATTGTATAGTTCATCTGACTTTTTTATTGCTCCAATTGTCTCAAAATGCTCAGCCCAACATATGTAAAATAGTGAAAGACTTGTTCCAATGTCATGATCAAACATGTATTCAAAAATTAAGTTTGGATCATCTACTGCTTCACTCTGAAAGTATAAAACAACATACACATAAAACAATTTTTTTTAATTTAAGATAACTTGCAGAAAAAATTAAAATAAATATTTTTTTTACCATTTTCACCCATAGTTCGACATATTTTTTGTTTTCGTTAACTGTCTTTTTTTTTTTAAAAAACATCATACATCTTTGCAATAGTGGAAGTACTTCCTTTGTTTGTGTTGAGTTTTGCTCCATCCATGTTATATAGCTAAGTAAATATTGTATATGCATATATATATATATATATATATATATATATATATATATATATATATATATATATATATATATATATATATATATATATATATATATATATATATATATAAGGAATTCCCCAGTTGGTTTAAAATTTCCAAAGGTTCAAAAAATTATATAAAAAAAAAAATCAATGTTTTTTTTTAAATGTGAAAAAAAATATTATCATTATACGTCTGACAGTAAGTTGACTCAAGGTGAGATGTTAGAAATTTGTTGATCAAAGACTCAAAGACTTTGATCAACAAATTTCTAACATCCAGACTTTGCTGGCTAATATCTTGTTTTTCAACCTGATAGGACTGATTAGGACATTCCCAAAGCATGTCTGTCTGACTGCATCAAATGTTTTAAATACAGAAAGAAGTTTTTCTCCTTCTGCAAAGGAAGCTGCAAATTTCATTTTGATCACATAAGAAGCAATAAGTTCTGCTACATGGGGAACTTGGCCAATACCTGTCTGAAAATTTTTCCTTGCATCTTGAACTGTAGAAGGGTTTGGATGTGCTATTCCACGACCAACTGGCTCCTAACAGTGGTGGCACACTTTAACTGGCCCATGAGGTGGTAAAAAATCTTTGGCTGCTACTACTTGGAAAGGAACAGCCTTAGCTGATCCTTAGCTCGATTCAATTATATTAAAACGGGCAACTTCACAAATAAGGCAACAGCAAAAAGGATTTGATTTTGAGTCATAAAAACAACTTTGGAAAAAAAAGGAGGTTGAATCTAAGTACCAAGAATGTTTTAACATTGACTTAATGACTTTCTCTTCAGTTCTTTTTACTGGGCAAACATCTTTATAATGAGTCATTTGATGTAAAGTTACAATATCAAGATATGGTATCATAATAGGATTGTGGCTTTGCAAGTACAATGGTGTGTAAAAATAACAAACAAACTCAACAATTTGTCTAACTTTATAAGTTTTTTAAATTTTCACTTCTTCATCATTTATTTAAGTCTAGTTGTTTGGATAGTAGCTGTAACTTAGCATAATAAAGTGCTGAACTAAAAAACCGTATATGGTGAAATGCACCAGGTTTTTTAATTTAGGCAACTCCTGATTTCGATAGATAAATTACAACAAGTTTTGGTAGTTATTTTCTGTCTTGTTTTTCTTTTTAACAAAGTTTTTGCAACATTTGAGTGCATCTGTTGTCACTTTCTCAACAACAGTCCTTGCCGCTAATGACTAATCAAACCTTAATATATTTTAAGGATTATAATTAAAATCTGGATCTTCAAATTTGTCGCAATTTTAAAAAAAGTTTGTCTGACCCTACCTTTTTTTCATGAGTAATATTTTTATGACAATGGCATATTCTCAGCTCTGTGACATGGTATCTACACCTAAAGTATTGCTTATTTTGTTAACAGTTTCTTTCTTAATGCCAGTATTTGTTGATATCAGTCAAAGCATAATCCATCATCATGTTATTTAATATCATAATCTTCAAGCAATTGCATTATTCCTTTATATTGATCGTCACTGGAAGACAAAGATAAAGAAGCCACACCCAACAAGTGCAATATGCCATTGATATTTACTAGTACACTAGTCTTTCACACTTTAACTTTTTACCTTTTATTGTTTCAAATATAGTTTTCCCATCAAAATGATTATACATGGGAATATAGATAAATCAGGCTTGGACAGGAATGGTGTGCGATCGCACTCTGTAACTGACCACACTAATAGTTTTTTTTCTTTACAACTTGACCACGGCTATTTTGATGTTTTAACAATTTAAATGCAATAAAAAGTGTTACATTGTGAATATCTTTTAATCATTGATCTTTTCTAAAGTTTTTATTTTACAAGAAAAGCTTTAAAATAAAATCATTTAATTATTTTTAATGATTGTTTACATAAAAGCGTGTGTAAACTAATAAAAAATGTTTTTATAAATTATTTTTTGTGTAGGCATGATAAATTTAAACGTTTGAAACTATTTTCCCATGTCTTCCTAAAAATCTTTCAAAGCATTAATTTTAGAAAGATTTTTTTAAAGTTACTTTAATTTATGAATAAGTTCAAAACCTTTGGCTAGCTTTTAGACATTTTATGTGAATTATACAAGAATATAAAATAACTTTATTTACTTAAATAAGCATGTATTTTGGAAAAGTTTTGAAGCATTTTGTAATGTTCATACGATTAATTTTTATAACTTACAATTTTTTAAAATCTTTTAAACAAACATTTTATTTTTTAATGAACAATTTTTTTTTGTTGTTGTTTTCCAATTACGATAGGAATGAATGAGTTGAAATCATAATAATTTCTAAATTCGTTAAGTGAAGCGCTTAATAATAAAGTTACAATGCTTAAATTAAAATCAAATTAAATTGCTTGTTGGCAGTTTATTTAATTTAAATTGCAGGCGCATTTTAATTATTTATTTTTTTACCATTTTTACGATTAAAAGAGTTGGTAACCTTTTTTTAACTAGACATTAATTAGAGCATGAAATTATTAAAAGTTACTATTTAAAAAAAACTACGCTATTTTTTTTAAATAATTTTTTTTTTTTTTTTTGCGTTTTTTAAAAAAATTAAATGTATATACAATTTAAAAATATTAAATACAGCACTTTTTAATAAATTTGATAAAAATTGTTCATTTATTAAACAATCATTAGTAGTAATTTGTTAATTTAAAAGTGTTTTGTGTACTTTAAAAAGATTTATTTCAAACGCGATTAAAAACGTAAAAAAAAATTTTTATTTTTTATTTTTATTATAGTGCTTATATAAATTCTTTTTCGTTAAGAATTTTTTTTCGTTAATTTTTTTTTTAAATTTTTTTCCTAGTTTAAGTTTAGCTTAGCGTTTCTACAATCAGCGCATTTCTGAAATGTTTAAATCATCAAAATATATATGCAATCGTGGTCAAGTTGTCAAGAAATAAAATCATTTGCGTGGTCAGCAATAGCGCTCAATCGCACGCAATTCCTGTCCAAGCCTGATAAATGCACTTTTTTGTTAATACTTTCTTTAGCAATATTTGCAATTTCTTTATTTTCTTTTTTCATTCTTCTAACAGTAGTTAAAAAGCTAGATTTGATGGCTTTTATATCTACTCCTGCAGCTTGAACAACCACAGTTGTAGCTCTCTGCAGAACCATATGAGAGATAATATTAACAGTTGCCATTAAAGCAACATTTTCTGAATATATATATTTAGGAATGTTGGCTTGAGTTTTTTTTTACCTACTTCTGGTTAGCACGGATCCTTATAATGCCTACCTAGCTGTCCCAAGAATGCCACTTATACAGAAAGTTAGCGCACAAGTCAAGGAACCCTGTGATGCAAATTTTGAAATTATTTAATCTTGTCCGCAGAAAATAATTTAATTTGAATGTTCAAATTAAGTCAAATTTTGACTTCATAGTGCGCCAATAAAAACACTTGTAGAATTTGAACCATTCAATATAATTTGATAAAAATTGGTACAAATGAAGCCAATAGTCACACCAAACTCTGGAAAAATTTCAGCCTGATTGAATGACTGGTGTAGGATTTATTGCAGTTTTAGTTGAAGTTTTTTCAGTTTTTTGCTACTTATACCTCAAAGCGTTACCGATTACTTTGAAATTCGGTCACTATTTTTAAAATAACGGTTACATGAGTGTTCTACTATGTAATACCAACAATTTTTGTTATAATTATTTTATAAACATTCCCAGATGTTTACAAACAACTTTAACAGTTACAAATAGGTTAATCAACATTTTTACGGATGCATCTTGTAAAACTTACAGTGCTGTTGCTTATCATCAATGTTTATATGACACAGGAGATGTGTGATCATAATGTCAAAAGCTCATTTCAATCTATTAGTTTACCAATACTTAAGTTACTTGGAGCTGTCCTCGGTCTACGACTTGCAGAGAAGATTTTCAAAGCATTGAAGCTGGAAACTAAGGACCTAACTATATGGTGTCTTAATGTTTAATGGTGGATAAAAAATCAAAGTCAAAAGTCGAAACCATTTGTTGCTAACTGTGTTGGATTCAAAAAAGTAGAAAAGGACATGACCCCCTAGCCTCCCTGGCATTGACGGCCATGTATGCTTCGCTTAAATATACCAATATTTTGTAAGGTATAAACTGCTGCCAAAAAAAAAGCTAAAAAAAAGTGCAAAACCTGGTCAAAGGACTACCAGTTAGTAAAACAAAAAAAAAAGAGTAGATCTCCTAAATTATTTTGTATTGATCTCCTTAAATACATTTACTTTTAAAATGAAGTGAAAACTATTTAAACCCTATTTTTTACATTGTATTACCATCAAATATCTAATTACATTTTAAGAAATGTTTTTTTGATTTTCTCCACCAAAAGATTATTAATAAAAAGCTCAATGTACTCTCTTAATACTACTTTTAAAGATTTCTTCTTTATTTTCACTGATTTTACTTATTTAAAAATAAGTTCATTTCATTTTTGAATATAAATTGAAGATTAACAAAAAAAAGCAGAAATAAAATAGAAAAGATGCTAACATAAATTTAAATACATTTATAAAATTTATATTCAATAATTTAATTAAAAACTAAACTTTTTTTTTTGTTAAACCAATATCCTAATGTTTTACTCTATAGTTTGAAGGTAAAGTAATCTTATAGTATATCCAGTGACTGCTGGAACCATCACTTAATTAAGATAAGACACGAAACTGCAAAAAAAAATTTAAAGCCATTAATTTCTTAAATTGAGAAAAATATAAATTACACCACAAAGACTTTGATAGGCAAAAGTAAAAACACTTTTTTAGTGTATTTAGTGTCTGGAGGATCCAAGTGATAATTTTGTGGATCATCTTGATCACATAAGAAATAAAGGTCTTCAAGTTTTATTTTCTCAGATCTTAGCTTGTCACTTCGGATATATTTTTATTGTTTTGGAGTTCCTATCCAAATTATAAGTTTAAGGAAATTGAAATT